TATATATATATATATATTATAGTTTCTGAAGAGTAGAGACTGGGGACAATGTAGTAAAAGTGTAACTACATACAAGACATTGTAAATCAGAGAGCGACATATTCGACACGTATATATATATATAAAGCTTTACGATCACTCTCTCCTCACAGAGAGACACTCATCGCCTCCCGATATCCCATTCATGACTCCTCCTGCTCTCCCTCCTGCTGAGAGCGGCTCGGGGGACGCGGACCAATCAGACTCTGTGTCCTTGAAGAGTTCAAGGTCAGAGACCTCAATCACATACGGTAAGTTGGAACACCTTGGCTAAACCGACAGCTAATAATACCTGTAGTATACTACGGTGTTAGGTACCGTACATAGGTATGGATATTATCATTTGATATCATTAGCTCTTGTTTAATGTAGAATGTGCCCCCCGTGGGAATGTGGTTGGAATACGGTTGATTAGACGTGTCGTTGTTTCTAGAGTGTACTGTGTAGGACATTAATGGACTTGCTAGGTGCACCTGTGTAAGCGGTCTGCGCTAGGCTTAATATTTGACGCAGACGCTCACAGAACAAGTTGAGCGCGTGACTACTTCGCAATGATTACTAGTTTAGTGAATAAACGTCCCACGTTAAAAACATCTAGCTACGATGTTACAAGATTTACAAGTTTATTAAGATTTACATCTTAGATTGTTAAAACGTAGATTCCTCGCCGCAAGATCTCCGCAATATTCTCAAGACCGGGTGGCTGCTGAAGAAAGTGGATAAGAAGGAGAAGAAGTTTCCCTTCGGTCGGGAGTACCAGAAGAAATTCTGCGTCATCTCGGGAAATGCGCTTTGCTGCTGTGAGAAAGAGTCGGACATGAAGGGCGCAGGTAACCGCTTGTGTTGCACAGAAAGCGCAGAGGTAACCGCTTGTGTTGCACAGGAAGCGCAGAGGTAACCGCTTGTGTTGCACAGGAAGCGCAGAGGTAACCGCTTGTGTTGCACAGAAATCGCAGAGGTAACCGCTTGTGTTGCACAGAAAGCGCAGAGGTAACTGCTTGTGTTGCACAAGAAATACGCGCCTGTGATGCACAGGAGAGAAGCTAATAACGTCTTGTGTTGCACAAGAAGGGCGGAGGTACCTGCTTGTGTTGCATAAGTAGGCCACGTACACGTATGCTCTGCAGGGGTGAAGATTATTGCGATATACATAAAAATTGCCCCAAAAAAATCGTCGAGTTGTGGTGTTGAAAACGTCTTGAAATGATTTACGCTGCATTTACCTGCAGTTACGATCTCGCTGGACGGATATGAGGCAAGAGACGTGGATATGATGAGCGACACGCGCAAGTCAGAGCTCAAGTTTGACCTTGTCAGCCCTGGCAAGGTCACGTACACGGTCAGTGGCGGCGCACGCAAAAACGCACGCACACACAAACACACGCACGCACGCACACGCACTCGCACACGTACACACGCACACGCACACGCACACGCACACGGAAGATACGTGATATGCCGTAGGCCTCTCGATACGCAGATATTAATGTAAATATTTTTGGCAGACATTTAGTTTGGGATAAATGTATTCCATTTAGACGTACGATGAGCTTTAACCGATGACGGTTAACGATAAATCTCTAATGCAAGGCCAATTTCTAACAAAACCCAGGTTTCTGCTTTCTTTACATGTAAACGTTACTAATAACACGAATCTCGAGAACCAATCGTACTTTTTCGACGTTAACTCCACACTCTGTTTACACCATCAAATTTCCTATCATTATAGATGGTAGATAATATAATAGTAGATAGATAGCTAGATAGATAGATGAAGATAATAGCATAGATAGAAGTAATATCATAGTGATCAACGCTATATAGAGAGAGATGGCTACGCAGTGGACTCTCACGCACCGCCGTGTAGAGCGGGCGTGAAGGAATTTAATTGGCACGAGCCACACTTCCGTGCTCGGCGACGCGCCATCCGCTGTCCTCCGTAGCATCTGCTGACGACGCCGCCATGTCGCCCCTCGCTGACGCCGCTCGTCGCCGACTCGCCGCGCAGTCCACGTAGCCAGGGTACCATTTCATACGTCGAGCGGTCGGCTGCCTGCGGTCGCCACGGTGTCGCTGCCGGTCGCGGGAGAAGCTGTGGGTGGGAGGAAATGCGGGGGAGGGCGGCGAGGCGGAGGGATTGCGGCGAGGGGCGGCGGTGGAGGGGACGCTTTGTCGACGCCGGGACTTTCGTACCGGCGGTGTGGATCGCTTCGGCGCAGCGGTTCTGGAGGGACGACACGACTCGTGCGCAGTCGCCGTAACGCACCGCTTCAACAAGACGAGCGATTCCAGCTTGGATTGCATCTGTTTGTCGTCCATAGATGTCGTCCGTGTCGCTCGGCTGGTTGGGCGGCAGCAGGCGGACCAGGAGCGGGACTAGCGGGCGGTAGTGGCGCCTTCTGTGTCTTATAGATCGCGCTCCAGTGATCGTCGACAATCTAGATCAGCGGTTCGCGGGAAGAATGGCGCCCTGAACAGGACCAAGGGTTTGTCTGTTGAGACAGGCGGTAGGGGGCGCCTCTGTGTCTTCTAGTGGCGTCAGTCGTTCGTCTTGCCGTCAGGTACGGGGAGTCGTACGTCGTGACTGCACACGGTAGCGTGGCGCCTCTGTATCCTCATAGATGCGTCATCGTCGTCGTCAGCCGTGACGGCTGGACGTACAGGGATGCCTGGTGGCGGGCAGTTGGACGAGCGTAGGGGGCGCCTCCGTATCGTATAATTCCGTCTCCTGCCTTCTCCTTCGCTCGAACACTCTCTCCTAAGAAACGACGAAGGTCGTGAGCACTCGCACTCCACGTGTAGTGTCCGTACCTCTGCTTACCTCCACCTGCCTCTACTTATTAGGCTTTTTTTTCCAATATTTCCTAATATTTTCAACCTAAATATATACGGAAACCGGTAAAACGTCGACAGCGCCATGCGCGGCCTACCTTTTCGGCATTCGCGATTCCAGTCTGCGCGGTTCGTTCGGTTCGGTTTCCTGAAGACAACGAGAAGATGTTCGCTAATTCGGCCACTAGATGGCGGGCAATGACGATGAATCGGCTGCTACTGGTGTGTGCCATCGCGCGAACAGTGTACCACGAGTTACGCGCGGCTACCGTTTTGTGCAGTCCAGATCGGCAGCCATTGTGGTACATAGCAAATCTTCCAATCATCCTCTTCGCTCTGTATGAGCTTGAACTTGAAAGCTAGAACAAATGCGACTGAAACAAAAACTGAAAGGTGAAGGAAGACTTTCGCGGCGTTGACCTGCGCTTATAGTACCTGCTTGTCTGCTATTCGCTCATGCGTCGTATCAAGGCAGATAAAAGAAGTCTCTATCCCTTCTTCTATTGCTCTGGTCCGTAGCATGTTCAGCGAGCTAAAGCGTCCCCTCTCAGTAATCTGACAGTAGGTATGAAAACTTCTGACACCGAGACGTTTCCGAGAAACAGCCGAGTCTCTCCGAAAGATTTTGCTTTCGCGCTCCACAAATGCCGATAGGACACCATGAAATATTCTCGGCTATCTGTGCGATGCACATAGCATGCCCAACAAGGGTTACGTTCATAGTGGCTTGAGGCCTCATGTAATATGGACATAGATATAAACGCGCATTGTTCTTTTATGGAAAAAGAAAAACGGAAGCGCTCTTATGAAGACTAAGTCTGAGTGACTCGACATTAGATAGTTAATGTAGTAATATATATATATATACTATTATATATATGTGCGGCTGTGTGTTGCGTGTCTGATGCTGTGTCGTATTTGTGCTGTGACTGTGTGATGTATGTGTTGCTGGCTGTGTTTATGCTGTGTGTAGTGTGTGTGTGTGTGTGTGTGACCTGTGT